CTCTTCTCGAGCTTTCCGATAGCTCGCCACATCGATCTTGTGGACAATTTGTTTTGCCGTGTGGAAGTGACTACCGCTCTTTCCATGAGCCTCCGACATTCCCACATACTTTTCTTTCCTACCCATGCGTCGACAATTATATCTGCAAATTCTGTTCTAAAAAGATGTGAAATGTCACATTGACCACAAGTGATTATAAAGCAAACGTTCTTTACCTTCGGAGTACCCGAATTAGCAGTTGACTCAGCCCTTACCCGCATTGGAAAGTAACCGGATGTTATATTACTATGCTATTAATTAACAGTAAGTGCGACATATTAATTTAGCGTAAAACATTCGCGATACCTATCTTTATATTGACTGACTATATATAGCCTCTTACCCACTTGTGCTCTGCCGAAATTTGTAAAAACAAACAACGATTAAGAATGCTATATGACATAACAAGTCATATTCATATCCTGTTAATTATTAACTTTGAGAATTTTAATGGAACTTATTTGCTTTAAAATGTTATATTAGATCTTCTGTGAACGAAATGGAGCAGAAATACTTCGTTCGCAGAGCATTCTATCCCCTGTACTTTTGAGATATACAATGGTGTTATGGCATATGGGGCCCAGACAATCACTTTCAGAAGTTGTTGGGACACATTTAGTTTTAGATTGTAAGTGGATCATTACAGTTTCAGTTACACACAATACCGCTCCCCTCCCCCTCCCCCCACCCCAATCAGTGTTGCTCCAACCAAAACACATCAAACCTGGCGAGAAATGGGACACAACATTGAACAGGGGGGGTTGACGTTTGTTGAATTCAAAGGTTTTGTGGCATTTGTACCAAGACTTTTGAAACTGATTGTAGTTGCCTACTGTGTAGACTTGCTCCAAGTCTCTCTTTGTGGAGACCCACTATATTGTACGTTACATGACGTACCGCTGAGGGGGAGAGGAGGAAAGAGAAGAGAGACTTGTAACATCTGGCAGCAGACATACTTCCGGCTGGTCAATTTCGACCAGCCGGAAGTAGATGGCCGCATTGACTTATCACGTGTTTAGGGGGGGAAGGCGACATCTGGACTTTCAGAGTTATTTGTTTAAGTATAGGTTATTTTGAGGCAACGAGGGGATATGTGATTTATTCACCGAGGCGCGCAGTGCCGAGGTGAATAAATACATATCCCGAGGCGCTGCAAAGACATTGCAGGTGAATATTAGAGGGGATTATTAATTGCAGGTGAATATTAGAGGGGATTATTAAACGGCAATTGATTAGAGGGGAATATTGAATATATTCCCCGACAAGAACAAAGGAAACCGAGCAGGGTGAAAAATAACATAAGTAATTTTGTATTCACGAGATTTCTTGTAGATTTCACATCACTTTTGACTGCGTGCATTTGGAATTTTGGGCATTATATTTGCAATTTATTGTAAACAACGATTATAAGAGAACGGATAAATTACAAATCAGCCGTAATCGTCATAAACCTCGATGACCACCAGTGTTTTTGTGTTTGACAATTTGTATTTCATTAGATATTTATATGCAAGGTCAGTATAAACGGGTTGTCATATAAAATGATCATTCAAATGAATGAATTGATAAAACGAATTATTTCTAATAATTATGTACGGCCGCGTTTTTTACACGGCCACTACTGAAACGTTTAGCTATTGTTGAATAAATCGATGACTTGCTTAGTTGCTTTCTGTTTTGAGCTTAACCACCGTTTAAGCTAAACGGGCTTGATATAACTGGCCCCAGACTCGGCCCCAGATAAACAATTTTGTATTATCGAGATCGAAACTATAGTAAATTGAAACCGTGTCAATAATAAAAAACGTACAATGAACTTATGAACATGCGAAAATTGTCACGCCCAAAATTTATACAAATGTTTATTTTGTTAAAAATTTGTATAAATTTTGGGCGTGACAATTTTCGCATGTTCATAAGTTCATTGTAAGTTTTTTATTATTGACACGGTTTCCAATTTACTATAGTTTCGATCTCGATAATACAAAAATGTTTATCTGGGGCCGAGTCTGGGGCCAGTTGTATCAAGCCCGTTTAGCTTAAACGGTGGTTAGGCTCAAAAAACAGAAAGCAACTAAGCAAGTCATCGATTTATTCAACTGATCAAGCTAAACGTTTCAGTAGTGGCCGTGTAAAAAACGCGGCCGTACATATTAGAAATCATTCGTTTTATCAATTCATTCATTAGAATGATCATATTATATGATTAACCGTTTATACTGACCTTGCATATAAATATCTAATGAAATACAAATTGTCAAACACAAAAACACTGGTGGTCATCGAGGTTTATGACGATTACGGCTGATTTGTAATTTATCCGTTCTTCTTATAATCCTTGTTTACAATAAATTGCAAAAATAATGCCCAAAATTCCAAATGCACGCAGTCAAAATTGATGTGAAATCTACAAGAAATCTCGTGAATACAAAATTACTTATGTTAAACAAATAACTCTGAAAGTCCAGATGTCGCTTCTTCCCCGGTCGAAATTGACCAGCCGGAAGTATGTCTGCTGCCAGATTTTACAAGTCTCTCTTTCCTCCTCTCCCCCTCAGCGGTACGTCATGTAACGTACAATATAGATGTACAATATATAGATGTCCACAAAGAGAGACTTGGAGCAAGTCTAGTATGTATATGGAAGTTCGTTTGAATTGATCACAGACCACAACCATTATACAGGTCATTTATGGGCCAAGATCAGAGCCTTGTGCACGTATTGAAAAGTGGGTGCTGCAAATGCAACCATGCAAATTTAAAGTAAAGTATGTTCCAGGATCGTAGAATATTGCTGACCCGTTGTCAAGATTAATAATAGATGGCCGTCAAACCAGCAGCGAATATGAAACAGAGGCTGAAAATTATGTACGGTTCGTGGCAGTGACAGCAACGCCCAACGCAATGACAACTCGAAAAGTTGAAGAAGTCTCTGCAGATGACGAAAAACACACGGCGGTAAGAAAAGCTATTAACGCAGTTCGTGGGACAAAACGGTCTACAAACAATACATCCAGTATTGTGACGAGTTCTGTGTAGTTGATCAACTAGTTTTCAGGGGAACAAGAGTGGTTATGCCAAAGAGGTTAAGACCCAAAGTGCTACGTTTGGCTCACGAGGGGCATCTTGGTATTGTGGGGACGAAGCAGAAGCCTCAAAGTAAAGTTTGGTGGCCAGGAATGGAAAAGGATGCAGAGAAGTGTTGTAAAGCACGCTATGGGTGCCAATTAGTTAGTCGTCCTGACGTCGTAGAGCCTATTAGAGCAATTACCTTCCTAGAAGCCCATGGTGAGATTTAGCACTTGACCTGTGCTTTTCAGGAAAGTTTATACTGGCTGCTATCAATTATTACAACCGTTACTATGAAGTTGTTATCATAAAATCAACCGTTACTGCTAAGGTCATTGAAAGTCTTGAAGAAATATTCTTTAGATATGGTCTTCCCGAAGTTTGACGTCTGATAATGGACCTCAATTCATTTTCACAGAATTTGAAACTTATATGGATTATCAAGGAATTCGACACCGAAGAGGTACTGCAAAGGGGTCTCAACTCTCAAGCGAACGGCGGGGTTCGAGCGACAGAACCGGTCATTGTTAAAGAGAATCCAAATCGCATAAGCAGAGAAGAAAGATTGGAATAACGAGCTGGGTGTTTCCCAAGATAAATGCATATACTCCATCCTCTTCCTCTGGGTAGACCACATTGACCGTTCTTCTACGCTTTTGGTGTCTGCTGACGTTATTACCTTTCTCTTCCTTGGGCTTCGTCTTACATTGGCCTTCGAAATGATCCTTTAAACCACACTTTCGACGGACCTTTCCCTTCGCGGGGCATCTGGGATCTTTTCCAAAATGACAAAGTTTATCGCATCTGTAGCAGCTTTTATCTTGACCAGTTCTCTATTTCTTATTACCGTCACGCCAGTCACGATTTTTACCTTTACATAATTCGCAACTTCAGCACTTTCTCGTTTCACTGTGGACATCGCTGCCAACTGCGAATCAACTTTCTTACAGTTCTCAGCGACTTCGAATGCTGGTTCTAGGGTAAGTCCTTGACCTTTCTCCAAGAGTTTCCTTTTAATGCACGAGCTTGAACATTTACAGAGAATTTCGTCGCGAATTTGATTGTCTGATTCATCTCCATAGCCGCAGTCTTTTGCAGTTCGCCTCAATCTAGTTGCAAACTGGGCAAATGTTTCTCCTGGAGCTTGTGTTAATTTTCTGAATAAAGTATGTATTCAAAGCGTCAATAGCTTCCTTATAATCTTGAACACCACCTGGATTTGGTAGGTTTGAAAATATACCCTGAACATCTGGTCCTGCTAAATGAAGCAATAAGGCACGTCTCCTTTGTTTTACTGTCGCGCTATCTTCATCAGGCCTTTTCCATCAAAGTACAACTCGAAACCAGACAACCACCGTTTCTATCTTAATCCAAGTATTTCAGGGTCTCGAAAACAGTCAAAAGTTTTGATACTATTGTTGTCGTTTTCTTGCATATATTGCGTTATCAGTGCCGTAGCAAGCTCGATAATTGGGGGGCTAATATTCATAGAGTCGTGTTCACAGACCATAAAAACAATCGATTTCAAAAGAAATTAATAAGCTGATTCACAAACCTTGGAACGTTAACAATTCGAGTTCCATGATCTCAAGTTGAAGCCGACCGGTGACATTATGGATCTTGCCGTTTGAAGGAGAGCTGATGTTTCGTCTTCATTGTCGGTGCCAGAAGCTAGGTTGTCAACATAAATATCATTCATCATATTCTCTGCAACTAGATGGTCAATGCTGTCTAGGTGTTTTCGGATGGTTGCATTTAGGATAAAGGGTGAGCATTTGACATTACAGAACGTTTTTTCTATGTTTAACTCTATTTAACTCTGTTCTATTTTAACTATTATTTGCCTGTAAAAAGCAGACATTGATACCATTTTAAATTATCACCATATTCCGAATTTGTTTCATCTATTTTGGGGGCTTTTTATAGGGATGTAATTTCTGTATATTTGTATTAATATACTCTGTAATGTTATTTGCATTTTTTGTTTATACATTGTACGATTAAATCGATCTGATCGGTTTATTTTCATCACGTGATCGTTTTCATATTCATAGTACAAAAGATCATGTAACTTTCCCGACCACTGCCACTAACTTCCCGACAAAGGCCCACCCCTAGAAACCTCGAAGTTCTTCTTGTATTTTTCAGCTAGGTGCATCCCTGTCAATCTAAAGCTTTCTTATTATTTGCACTACTTACACTGACACGGACCGTTCGAGATTATTTAGGTTTAGGTTTCAAAATGGCAGTAGCGGAATCTATAATCTCACAGGTATACTACATCACTGATCCACAGGTCCCTCATGAGAAGGCTAATATAACACTCGGTCTGGTTAAAAGGGTATGTAAACAACTCTCTGATCTAAAAGTCAGAAAATTGTTGTACTGTGCTCTTGTGCGGCCTAAACTTGAGTACGCCAGTAGTTTGTGGTCATCGTATGAAGTTAAGTATCGTCCCCTAATTGAAAACGTCCAGCGGCGAGCCACTAAACATATACTGAACTATCCTCCGGATGTGACATATGTCGAGAGACTCGCCAAAGCCAATCTTCTTTGTCTTGAATTTGGCAGAGAAATTGGCGATTTGATGCTTTCTTTTAATTAAATCCGGAGCAGGACTGATTTTCAACGATGTCAACGATTTTCTTTGCACTGTCGAGCCAAGATATAGATTTCAGAATTATGATATTAATAACTACAATGTAATCACTAAACATAAACAAGATTATTGCAGAAAATCGTTCTTTATTAAATCAGCCGAACTATGGAACAGTCTGCCCTCATATCTTAAAATCTACCACTCGTTGCTTGCATTCATGTCTACCCTAATAACTTGTACATTACAAAGTTATCAATATTATATACAGTCCTCCTGGTTGTTCCTAATTATAGTCACATATATTTTTTCTCATGTTAGTCGTTTCCGAATAATTATGTGTATGTTTATATAAGTATAGGTTATCATATAAGGGATGAGGTGATATCAGTTTTATCGTTCGAGGGATGATATCACAATTGTCAAGAGCGAGCGCAGCGAGCGAGGGACAATTGTGATATCGTCCCGAGAGCGATAAAACTGATATCATCGAATCCCGAGTACGATAACCTATTTATTATATACTTGTACCTTTATCAGGATATGATCAGGGTTAGAAAACCAAAACTAGCATTAAAAAGGTAGCATAAAAATCCAATCTTCTTGGTTCTATTGTCTCTACATCCTCGTCGGTATTCTGAACTTCTTGTAAAAATTGTTTAAATAAATTTAGATCACATTTTGTCTTTCTTTCTGTATTATCATTCTTGTTTCCTTCGATAAAACTGTCGACATCAACCGACCCGAACCTCGAGTCCGCCTATTTTTTTTGACAAGGCGCGAACTTTAACGGGACAAAAAACGATATCCGGGACAAAAAAGATATCCGGGACGATATCGTTTTTATGTCTCGCTGGTTCCTACCCGATAAATGTACAAGTATGTGATAATTCCCGAGCCAACGGCGCGGAGCGCCGTTCCGGGCGTAAGTCCGGGGCGAGGGTACTAATTCCGTTCGGCTATTTACACCCGGGGAAAGGAACGCACTAGCGAAGTCTAAAGTTCATCAAATATCGCGGGCGCATGGTGCATGGGTGGTCATCTCACTGATCTCAAAATATGGCTGTTTGCCAGGAGTGAAGAAGGGGAAACTGTAAAAAAAAACATGTAAGAAAGCTTCGAAAATCGTTTCACATAACAAATTGTAAAACATTTTTTCAATTTTTAAACGTGAACGTTGATCAGAATTGATTTAGTATGAGAAATTCTAAAGTATAGGGCAAGTTTGTTTCAATTGTTTATGTATGACATTTTATTATTATCGACTTTGTTCTTGTTTTTAAATGTTTCCTATGCATTGTATGCGGAAGTTTCTTTAATCTTTAAATTAACGTTTGTAGAAATTCATGATAAAAAGGAAAGCAAATTATTTCATTAGCGTCCTGTACGAAATAAAATTATTTTATTTCAAAGTGCGATTTATATATATTTGAAGCTCAAGACCCAGTTGAAGAGTTTAATATCGGCAAAAAGCAGTTGATTTCAATTCACATTTAAAAACGTTTTACGCAGAGTTTCGTTTGGAATTTTACATTAATATGAAGCCCATGGAAAACAACACAATATACCTACTTCATATATTTTAGAAATTGATAGTTCTGTATTTAAAAGTGTTCAAGTTTCATCTATAATTTATTTGCAGGTTTGTACAAAAAATTAAAAACCAATTATCGTGTTGCCATGACTAACATGACGTGAGCAACCCAAGCCTGCGTTCAGTGTTGACGTAATTACGAATATTCATGTTGAAACAATGTTTGGAGAATGTAGGCGAGGGGTTGTTTGCATGCATGTATTTCTAGTTATAGAATATATTTCTAGTTATATTCCTTTATATATATATATATATATATATATATATATATATATATATATATATATATATATATATATATATTATGGATAATCTCTTTTAGGTTGAAAAACTTTGCATTGTCAAAAAAAACCGAACACACCGAATCAAAGACATAAGTAATAAGTAGGATATTCATTTTGACAAAGGATTCTACGAAGCATTTCTGCATGGTTGGTTGTGAAAGTTCTCATAGCTTGAACAGGTGTGAAAGAAACGATGTAACAAAGATGTGACTAAAGCACATTTGTAAGTTCTATATATATATATATATATATATATATATATTATAGGAATATATATATATATATATATATATATATATATATATATATATATATATATATATATATATATATATATATATATATATATATATATATATACATATATATATATGCATATATATATATATATACATATATATATATATATACATATATATATATATATATATATATATATATATATATATATATATATATATATATATATATATATATATATATATATATATATATATATATATAGGTACTTGGAAAACGTTAAATAGTCTTATCGGCAAACCATCCAAAAATACTGAAATTAATGAAATTAAAATTCCTTCAAATGTTAACGACACTTCAACAAACGCATGCGATATTTCTAATCATTTTAATAAATATTTTTCACAAATTGGAGCAAAGCTTGCTGCTGAAGTTCCAGATTATAATGTTCATCCGACAAAATATTTAAAAAAAGCAAATTCGTCTTTTGCTTTTGTCGAAATAGAACCCGAAGAAGTTTTAAAATTATTGAAGAAGCTCGACATTTCTAAGGCCACTGGTCTAGATAATATTTCGAACAAGATATTAAAAATCGCAGCACCTTGTATTTATGGACATCTTGCCAGCCTATTTAATTTATCCATTAAGCATAATGTTTTTCCAAATGAGTGGAAATCAGCAAAGGTTTTTCCTATTTTTAAATCCGGTGAACGCAGTGACTCAAATAATTATAGACCAATATCTGTTTTGCTTGGTATTTCTACGTTATTTGAGAGATTGGTCTATAATCAGATTTATGCATATCTAATGAAATTTGATCTAATTAATCCAAGGCAATTCGGTTTTAGGTCACTGCATTCAACTGTAACTGCATTACTGGATTTAACTAACCAGTGGTATTATAATATTGATAGAGGTATGATCAATGGTGTCCTATTTTTAGATTTAAAAAAAGCTTTTGACACTGTTGATCATAATATATTATTAACCAAATTAAGTTTTCTTGGAATCTGTGATAAAACATTACATTGGTTTAAATCATATTTTACTGATAGAACTCAACAATGTTATGTTAATGGTTATTTATCTGGTAAAGTGCTATGGGGCGCCAAGTGTAAATTTATTATTTAGTAGAAAAACGGGTGAACTTTTCCGTTATTTATAAATAATGGAATAAAGATGACATTATTTATATATAATAACTTTTAGAGATTTACATTATTTATATATAATGAATGTTGTAAAACAATTATTTATATATAATAACTAAAGGAGATCTGTATTATTTATATATAATGAAAGTTTTAATGCTATTATTTATATATAATGAAAGTTGTAAAACAATTATTTATATATAATAACTTTAGGAGATCTGTATTATTTATATATAATGAAAGTTTTAATGCTATTATTTATAAATAATAAAAGTTGTAAAACAATTAT